CAGACATTGTTTCATGGTTGATTTGATATTTGATTAGGATACAATACAAAACCATTTTCTTTGTTTATGGGGTTGTATTAGATTATGATGTTATCTTTTAATGTTTATTTTTCACCTAGGCATTTGCTATCGAACTATGTATAGGGTATCCAAACGAATGGTAATCTCCAAGTACTTATGAAGTGTGTTCTTCATTAAAATTTTACAAGTAATATTTGCTATTGAATTATGTTAATTCCAATAATTGGGTTAGTGTATTTTTTTCTTATTTTTTAATAACAACTTGCTTTCTTTATTATTTTTAAAATATTATTGAAAATATCTATTTATAATATTTTATTTTAATTTTACATTATTTTTAATAATAGTTAATATTTTTATTCTCTTTTATTATTGTCTTTATTTAGAGTTTTATTATTTTAATAAAATTTTCACTAACTTATCTATTTCTTGATTTTTTATTTTTTATTTATTATTATTATTATTATTATTATTATTATTATTATTATTATTATTATTATATCAATAAATTTTTACTATTTTATCTCTTTTTACATTATTTTATCATTTATTGATATCTTTTACATACTTTTACTATTTTTATATTATTTTTGTCATTAAATGATCTATTTTATATATTTAATTTTTATTACCGTTATTCTTTTATTTTTTACATTTTATTGTATTTATAATAATTTTTACTATTTTATCATTTTTACATTATTTTTATTTTTTATTGATATTATTTATTAACTTTTATCATTATATATTTTGTATATAATATCCTATTACTATAATCGCTTTCATTTACTTTTATTTATATAATGACTTTGAGGAGTAAATTTGTAAAATATAAATTTTTCAGAGATTACAACATTCAGATTATGGAACAACTCCACTATAATGTCTACAAAAGTGAAAAAATCAAAATTTTCTATAAAACTTTTTCGAAGGTTTTTTTGCTTTTTCAGATTTCAAGCTTCGATTTAGCGAACGCCACCTTAGACCAAATCAATCATGATTTTGGAGAATCAAACTTGAATGACTCGTGAATAACTTGATTCATCTCCACCCCTTTTAACTGTAACCCTTTTTTTTTTTTGGATTCGGAAGGTAGGGTTCATGGGTTGGTCCGGTTGTTTCATTCCATCTCGTTAAAGTGTCCTCATAGCCTTACAGTGATTGCATTACCTGGACCAATTTACAACTTACAACTGTTGAATGAAAATGGCTCGGATGTGCACCCGAACCCATTTTTTTAATTATAGGAAATTCTTATAAATGAATAAAAAAGAAAATTCTTATAACAGTAGTTCAGGTAGGGTTGTGCCGTTGAACACGTATATATATATATATATATATATATATATATATATATATATATATATATTAATACGATTGGGTGATTCATGGCACCCTCTCGTTTAAGAAAACGGAATCTTACTGTAGATTCCCACCCACGTACTCACACTCGAACGTGTGATGTTGAATTATCAGGTGAACTCGGATATGAATAAGGGAAATAGGATATTTGATCGCATGTGCAACACGTGCCCGTGAATCATACATATTTTATAGCATGATATTGTACGTGTCTATCCCTCTCTGTGCTAAACTGTCTGTCACGATCTTTTTGTCTCTCACCTCTCTTACACATGCCATTATTCTCTTCTCAATCTATCACGATCTTTTTCTTGTTTTTAAAAAAACTCTCTTGTCTATTTTCCCACCTCTGTATTTGTCGGCCCTCTTATGGTCTCTCTTCGCCGTATCTTCCTCAATTTATTAGTCATGATATGTAGGTTTTCAAGATGGTTGCGACCCATGTTTCAACTGAAGCTCTATTTTGTTTTAGTTTTTTTTTTTTTTTATCATTCCTTTTTGGTTTGTTGTTGTAGGTTTAGTGGTGTTTGGGTTTGGGGGTGGAGATGTTCCAGTTGAGTTTGCTTTTCTAAATTTTATTCTAGAAACAAAGTTCCAAAGAAGCTCTGATGTCCCACTTTGATGTTTCATCTGGTTTTTTAGAAATTAAGTTCTATCCAGCATGCAACATTAGCTGCATGACCTCTGTGAGCAGCTTAATAGCATGAAAGAGAGAACACGCTGAAATTGGGTCTGACATGTTATTCACAAACAACAAGGATTTCCTATTTAGTGAAGATATCAAACTTGGTCAGACTGGGTGTTCTGTAGTCGTGTGGTTTGCAATAAGCTTCGTATTTCAGAATGCATGTAGTGGACATGAAAAATTCAAATTGCTTTCTCCTAACCCCTGTTATAAATTGTTTTTTGTTTCATAGCTTTGTTTGGGTTCTTCTTCAAAAGTCTTGATGTATCCGTGAATACAAAGTCATGATTCTACCTTGAGGTTTTGGATTTTCAATTCTATGTGAGGATTACAATTTAGGCCCGTCAAAGTCCTGATTCGTCTGAGTTCTTCTTCAAAAGTCTTGATGTATCAGTGAATACAAAGTCTTGATTCTACCTTGAGGTTTTGGATTTTCAATTCTATGTGAGAATTACAATTTAAGCCCGTAAAAGTTTTATTGTTGCTTTTTTGTTTGTTTTTTTGTTCTACTGCAGAGGCATGTTTTTATTTTTCTTTATTTCCTTCTCTTTTTGCTTCTTGCTTGAGGCTGAAACAGGGGCTCTGCCTTATCTTCTTCTTCTTTGTGATGGCGGCTAGCTTTTCCACCATTTAGAGAAACATGGGAGGCTCTCTAAGTCGAAAACCCTAGTACTTTTCAGTCATCTGATGCAAGTTGTGATACCGTGATGTATTGTCATGACAAAGGCATTTGTATGTCAACAACTTGTTATTGGACTAGCAAGTTTAGGCATTTGTATTATGGATTTGTCATTTTGGTATGTTGGGTTTTAGATTCATAGGAGGGAAGAGGCAAAGAAAATGCAAGTTGTGTAAGGGTGATGTTTTAACTGTAGATAAATTGAGTCGCAAGTGAAATGTTTTGGTTGGTTGTTTTGGTCTTTTAGTACTAGATTTTTAAATTTTTTTATTTTGGATAATCTATTCTTAAAGAAAGATCTATCCTTTTCTAGTTTTCTTTGTATGTTTTGTTTATATCTATAGAGCATATAGATATTTTGTTTACATTATATTTAAGAATTTTGTTTCGTATTTGTGGCATTGACAATATCCAATAATTGTTACTTCATGAAGATTTCTTCTAATTTAAAGGATGGGACCTCACATTGAACGAATGCACCACCTAATCAACTTAGAAGGCTTCTTTCTCCTTTCCGCCTCTGTATTTTTTAATTTATTTTATTTGTTACTCCCTATAATTTGTATACCTCTCTTTAGTTTACAAGAATGACGATGGACATGTCTTTAGAACTTTTCTTCTAACTCTCTTACTCATTATCAGCGGTTAAAATGGTGACTCATTATATATCCTCTTTATTACTCTTTCTCACTCATTAACTCTCTTTTCTTTATTTCCTTATTCAAATAAAAGAAACACAGAATAGGGAAACCAAAAACTAATAACCAGGAAGTAATTCTATCAAATGGGGGTGAACAACAAGCAATGTTTAGCCTACCAAAATTTTGCATCCAACTAGGAATTCCTTTGAAAAAAGGAAGAAGATATACAAGTTGGGTTATGTGTGCTCTGGTGTAACATATGGATAGATTAGGCTGTGCAGTAGATTGATTAAGCTTTGGATTTAGAATTTAATCCTTATGTTGGAGATTTAAGATTATTTTTGGCTTTTGCACAAGTAACTTAGTGGTGTCTAATAATAATCTAATATCTAATGTTCTGTTAAAACACATGTGATATGTTTCCAAAGTTTGCTACTTTTATCATGATCATGGTACACGGTCTATATTAGTATATGGATCCACACATGGATCATAGTTAGGGAAATCCACTTTTGGGTCATTCAAAATCCTTTAAATAGAGATTTTGATTTTGAGTTCGTTGGAAGGATCAAAATTATCTCCTAATCTAATATTGTAGGACAACCAGTCTATTGAAAAGCTTTTTTTTTAGAATGTATACTTGTGATTTCCATTTTGAGTTCGTGGTTTGGGTTTGTGGGTTTGTCTTGAGCCAATAAAATATAATTTTGTATGTCTTAAATTCATAATTCAGTTAATCGCGACCCAGGTTTTATATTTGGCTGAATAATTTTAAATCATGACATATATAATGACATGAGTTCCATGTGCTACAAATATGTTTTTGTGGGCACATGAACTATACATTCCAGACCAATGTTTAGTAGCCAAATTTTAGCTTTAGGCAGGATGGTGTTGCTACTATAGCATGTAAGCTATTGGTTTTGTTATTTATGATTTTAGATTAACGGACATTCCAGACCAAGCTACTTGTCCAGACAAAAGAAGCAAGTTCAAAATTATTGGATAATGGTGAATTGGTACCACTGTGTTGGAACCATATTTAGGAAACATGGAGATCCCACCTTTGATTCTATTTATTTTGTACTTAAATATGCAAGAAAGAGTAAAAATTAGAAAAGTTAATTGAGATTGAGTTTTTCTTTTCTTTTTTTTTTATATCAATATTTTATATAAGAGTGAAAGAATTTGTAGGGACAGGATAAAAAGATATATCTTTGATATAATTTTCCGAGACCAGGATTTTAATCCAACTACCACAATTTTTTTATTCTCCCAATTACTCGCCCGTGCTGAGCACGGGCGCCCCTCGCCAGTTATTTAGTTATTTACGGTGATCAAAGCGGCTGGCATGCATTGAGAAACCCGCTGGAATCAGCCGGCCTTATCACTAATATAATCCTCTTGACTCCTGGGAATGCTTTTTTTTTCTTTTTTTGTTTCTCCGGTCTATACACAGCAGCGATAGCCCATCCCCTTGACCCTGGTGACCGCTGGATTTTTTGATCTTCTCCATTACAGCCAGCCAGGCAGCCAGAGATCTAACCAACTTAATTTGTTCTGAGAATGTGATTGTGGGTATCGAAGTTTTGAGCAAATTCCGTTCATTCAGTGCAGGATGTGGATTCATCGTCATCATCAACTCCCATATCTACTCTTCTTCGTATTCGCAGTGCTATTTAGTTCCTCTCTCGGCGATGTGGGCACCGCTTCTCTCTACAACCCTCCGTATTTACGTAAGTGCCACCAACAATCCACCGTTTCACAAACATCCTTCAACTGTAAAATTTCATCACTACTCTGAGAATGTATCGTCGTCACACGAGAGCTTGATTCAGAGTTTTTATTTATTCTTTTCTATTTCTTTCTGTGCGCTGGATGTAAATATGTAGCGACGGCCTGTTATAACAATGATGTGAGCCAGTTTCCGGCAAACAATTTATTTGCGTCGGCCGGTGAGGGGATTTGGGACAACGGGGCGTCTTGTGGGAGACAGTATCTCGTCAGATGCCTAAGCGCGACGGTACCGGGAACTTGTGTTCAAGGGAAGATAATTCAGGTAAAGATTGTTGATCGAGCGGCTTCTTCTGTCTCTCGCCCCTCAAGAGCTGGCACCACTATGGTTCTCTCTGCCACAGCTTTTGGCGAGATTGCGAATGTATCGGCTAATGTCATCAACATAGAATTCCAACAGTCAGTTTCTTCTTTCTTATGCTTAATTTATTGTTCATTTCAGAACCTCTCTCAATTCTTCTGGGTTTTGATAGATTGCCCTTCTCCGTGTGCAGGGTGTAATTTTGGACTACTAGCTAGCTACAGCAACGGAGGCCGGAGGGAGAGAAAGTGAACAAAGTAGCCAGAGACTTCGGAGCAAATTCTTGTTGATGAAGCTGATGGAGAAGAAGAAGTAGAAGGGAATCTGAATTGTGAAATCTGCTTTCTAGAAAGCTTTTGTTAAGAAGTCTCAATTAATTATTAATAAAACGTAATTTCATGTACACTACATCACTTTGGCCGTTTGCGTAATTCATTAATTGGTGTAAGTTGACCAACCACTACGCTTTGAATTGTTCTCAGAGAAGACTTTCTGCATGGAGCCTGCATATAAGTCGTTTTTGCTTCCATGTTCCAAGTCTTTCTACGAAGCTTCTGCTAATCAATGAAGCTTACTTGGGCAACGCCTGGGTAAAGCTGCCCCCAAAACCCTTTTCTTCTCTCTCTCTCTACATACACAGTCACAGACCATTATCATTCTGAGAAAAAAATCGCTTTCAGCTGTGTAGTGAAGGAGGTAATGGCTCATTAGTCCAATAATACAATGGTAATTAACGTGAATCTAGGCTAAGTAATAAATATTAGGGCGAGGTGGGGGGATTTTGGGCTAAGGCGCGATCAACTAGGCCGGGAAAGTTAGTATCCAAATTTTTAAACTTATCACAGTAGCTAAATTTTCAAAAAGTGATAAGTCCTTGGCTTTTACCTTGAGACTCAACTTGTTATCTTTAAAGAAAAAAACAGAAAAAAAATATATATAAATATATAAAACAGTTATATATTTATATATTTATATATATATTTATATATATAAATATATAAATATATAACTGTAGGGACCAACTTGACACTTGCTCAAATACTATTTTAACAGTACCCCCAAAGTTGATAATATTAAAATGGAATTTTCCCTAATTGATATTAAGTATTTGGTCAACTTACCAACAAATATTCAAACAACACATGGGTATCTCCTCCCATAGTTTGAAAAAGATGGTGCGATTATAGAACCTATATCTACTTTGAACGGTTCAACTAGTCAATTTGTAAACTGGGGAGACAGGAAAGAATGGCCAGATTGGACAACTTATTCAAAACCGATCAATTTATTCAAGCTGAATTTTTGATCATATCCCATCTACTTCTTAACTGATGAACGAACACCAACGACAGAGTTGGATAAGGTGAAACTAGTCTATACTTTCTGTAAAATCCATCCAAACTCTCTCTCTCTCCTTAGACTTAGGACATAGGAGTGAGGAGGGTATAGAATAAAAACATTCACATGCCTTGTACCTCGTTAATGGTCAAGAGTGGTATAGTAGAGTAGAGACCAGAACATGGTACGAGTGGAATGGGTTGGTTCCCATCATCCATACGGCACCATATCTAATCTATATGATCAGTCAATTTATACAGATTGATATCATACAATTCAATATGGACAATGTGCTGGCAGAATGATTCGTGTTGGTTGGTACTTTCAAGTTTCAAGTTTCAAGTTTCAAGCTTTCCTTGTTCATCGAGGGTTTAGCCGGTGGTATTGGTCTTTGTTTTTTTTTTTTATGGAAAAATGGTATATGGATGTAGATGCTTTTGACTGCTCTAGTAAATTGGATGTTGTGGTTAGGGATCCTTACGGTTCGGGTGGGCTTTTTTGTGAATCAAATTGGTAGTATCGGTTTTTGGAAAATTGATAATCGGAACCAGTCAGTTAACTGGTTGATCGATTTGGTTAATCAACGGTTTAGTTTATTGGTTTTTCATTTTTTTTAACTTTATAATATTTATTATAAAATATATATAAATTATTATATTTTAAATAATAAATAATATATAATATACTATAAATATATATAATACATATTTATTAATTTATAAAATATATATAATAGACATAAATATATAGAAAACATGTATATCAGTTAATTTGATTAACCGCCGGTTTTTTAAATTGGTTAACCAAAATCAAACCGACCAACTTGATTAACCGATTTTTCGGTTAGGTTTTTTTATTTTTTTTTGCTCACCCCTAGTTGTGGTTTGTGTATGCCGAATCTCGTAAAATTGGAATGCCAATATTATATAAATAAACTAACTCATATAAATCTGCTGCCTTGCATGTTTTTAATTAGGTGATTTTAATGTCTCTAATCCTTGTTGGATAAATGATGATGATTTGATAGATCGATGATGATGATTCTCAAATAACTTCTCTGGTTCTAACTGGTAATAGATAAGTTAATGGGGTTCTTAAGGATTTAATTAATACTTTTAATTTGATTGAAGTTGATGTTCAAGATGGAGCATTCACATGGTCTAATATTGGCAGGTCAAATTCTGGTTAAGTTAGGAGAAAGTTGGACGGAATATTAATTTCAGTGGATTTTATAGTGAAATTTCCTTAACTAGTGGCCATGGTTTGTCGTGAGTGGGGGTCAAATCATAAACCTATTTTCCTTGATTTAAATCTGTTTCAAAGAATTTCATATCCTAAGCCCTTCTTATTCTTTGAATTGTGGCTTGAAGAAAACTATTGTGTTAACATTATTAAGGGTGGAATCTTTGAGTAAACAGATATATGCTACCTTTAGAATTAATTGGGGTTAAGCTTGATGCCTTAAAAAAAAAGATTAAAATTCTGGAAGACTGGAACGTGTTGATTAAAAAAAAAATGATTTGTAGGACAATTTCGAATCAATGCATAAGGATTTGTTACTATGCCAAAATAGATTGTTAAGGACACTCGAATACTAAATTCTTTTATCACTAAACTTTTATTAGAAAGAGGAGGAATCAAATAAATTGGTAGGATGAGGAGAATAGAGATTGGGTGCATGACCATGATCAAATTACTGAACTTTTGTTAATTAAATATTTTGAGAGCTTGTTTTCATCTAACAGAGAAGAAAGTTTTAGATCTATCCCTGGGATATTTTATCTAGTTATTTATAATCTTGACAATTTATGCTGACTGTTATCCCTTCATATTGGAGGAAGTTTATGATGTTGTTAAATCTTTGGGCAGGTTAAAAGATCGTAGCTAGGCCAAATGGAATCCTTGTCCTTATATATCAAAAATTTTAGGAAGACATGAAGGATACGATATTTATGAATTTGTTTGTGAATTTTTCAAAAAGAAAAAGCTTTTGACGAGAATTAATCATACTTTCAAAACTAATGTAACCAGTTCTGGTCACATACTAATTGTTTTATTTTTTAGCTAAGTACCTCGTCATTTGATCTGGTCCTAGGCAGCCTGTGACTCGGAGAATGGTGGAGTTCCCTGGTGTAGCGCAACCCGATTGCCCTCTGCATGAGGTGATCTTCTCTCCTTTGTAGGCGGCGGGAGCTGAGGAACCTGTGAGAACTCCATCTTTTCCTCCTTTTTGTAGGCGGAGAGGGCTGAGGGACCTGCGAGAACTCCATCTTTTCCTCCTCCTTGTAGGCGGTGGGAGCTGAGGAACCTGCGAGAACTGAATCAGAGGTCTCGGGGGTCTTTACCCAGCGGGGACTCTCCAATGCTTAAGTTAGCACTCTGATTGTAGAGAGCTTGAAGATGATATTGGAGAAATGAGAGAGCTAGAGAGCAGGGATTACCTCCATTTTTTCCATCTCCCTTGTCTTTGGGGGTCAGAGTCCTTATATAGTGGTGTCCTGTCAAATCAGGTGTAACAGCCTCTGTCAAGTCAGGCATAACAACCCCTGTCAAGTCAGGCATAACCGCCTCTGTCTCTCTGCCGCAGCTGTCACTGCCAGAGCTGAAGTGGCGGGTGCAGGCAGCTGTTGCAGAGTACGGCTCTGCTAGGCAAGGGACAACTCTCAGGGCTGGCAGGCACGGCGCCGCCTGGCGAGAGACGTGGACGCAAGTCTCTGGATATGTCAGGTACGGTTGTCAGGCAGGAGATCTTCCTGCGATATGAAAATGTGCTCTTCTGTACCGAGCTACCCTGCAAGTGGCGAGCTGCCAGGGGGGGAGCTATGCTAAGCTCCCTGAGCTATGTCGAGTTGCTAGTGGTGAGCTATGACGAGCTGCCTGTGGCGAGCTGTGGCAAGCTCTGCCGAGCTACCTGTAGTGAGCTATGGCAGGCTCTGCCGAACTATCTGTGGCGAGCTATGCCGAGCTGCCCGAGCTGCCCAGTTGTCAAGAGGCTACACTTGGCTTGCGTGAGGTGCCAAGTGTCACAATTTCACTGGAGGGCCAAATCCGCCCTCATCACTTGCCCCCCACTCCCGAGTTGAGAGTAACTCAGCGAAGGGAGTAGATTTCTTTTTTTGGCCCGTAAGTCGATGAGCTAGTAAGTGCTGATCCAATTCCTTAGGCTTTGGGAGCTGCCTGCAAGTGGCGAGCTGCCCGTAAGGTGAAGAGGTCTCCGCTAGTTTAGTACTATAGCCCTTAGGCTCTAGGGGCAACTTATAGTTCACTTTTGCTGATTTTGCCCATGTTGAGGAAGCGATTGGGTTTTTAGCAATAATGTGGCCCGTAGCGACTCGTAGTCCACTCTTCTTGACTTTGCCCATGCCGAAGAGGCGACTGGGTCTTAAGTAGTAATGTGGCCCGTAGGCTTTGGGAGCGACTCATAGTCCACTCTTCTTTGACTTTGCCCGTGCCAAAGAGGCGACTAGGTCTTCAGCAGTAATGTGGCCTGTAGGCTTTGCCTGTGAGGTGCTAAGCAACTTGTGAAGTGCCGAGCTGACCAGGTGTCGAGCTACCTGTGAGGTGCCGAGCTGACCAGGTACCGAGCTACCTGTGAGGTGCCGAGCTGCCTGTGAGGTGCCGAGCTACCTGTGAGGTGACGAGCTAACCAGGTGTCGAGCTACCTGTGATTGCGCTGCATCAGCCTCGTAATGCCGATCACCCATTCCTACAAAAAGCTACTAGGAGCTCAACCCTCGGGGGCAGCACTACTAACTTTGGGTCACCAGCTCACACGGGAGCCTTGGAAGGCTCGACCAGCAAGGGTGCCTATGTAGTCTGTTGGCCGCCAACTCCCGCGGAAGCCACGAAGAGCTCATCTTTGTAGAGGGGACCTTGCGGAGAGGACTGATGAGGTTTTATCTGAATTGAAAGTTGGTAGAGCTGCTTAGTCTGTTGTCTCCATGCATAGTCTTTGAGTTCATAGAAAATGCAAACTATAAAGCGAGAGCTTCAATTTCTAAAAAGTGAGGACTTAGCTTTCTGGGAGAAGAGGGCTTAGCTTTGGTAGGATGAGAACTTAGCTTTTGTAGGATGAGAA